GTCTTTTCCAAAGTCGACTTGGTTAAATCGTATAACCAAATCCCTATGGCTACTGACGACATACCGAAAACAGCTATCATAACTCCCTTCGGACTCTACGAATTTTTGCGGATGCCTTTCGGCCTAAGGAACGCTGCTCAAACATTCCAAAGATTCATAGACAATATTTTCGAGATCTCAACTTCGTACATGTGTATGTTGATGACTGCCTAATAGCAAGTCCGGACAGAAAACCGCATCTTCAGCATCTGGATCTTGTTTTCGACCGACTACAAAAACATGGCATTACTGTAAACGTTCAGAAATGCCAATTCCGAACCGACTCATTAGACTTCCTAGGGCACATTATTGATGGGCAAGGCATCCGGCCTCTCAAAACCGAAGTGACGGCCATTCTGGATTACGCAGAACCGACCATCATCAAGCAATTACGCACGTTTTTATAGACGGTTCATACCGAAATGCGAGTCACTTATGAAACCGCTAACCGACCAACTTCGTGGAAATGCGAAATCCATCAATCTAGACGACACCGAGCGAAAAGCATTTCCTACAATTAAGGAACTTAACGCTTAAGCAACGATACTTGAACATCAGGACACTGAAGCACCCATTAGTAACTCGGTAGATGCATACGACTCAGCAATCTCTGAAGTCATACAACAATGTATTGACTGCTCCCGGCAACCTTTGGCATCTTCAATATTTCCACCGATGAAGGCAGTCATTTGGCAAAGTTGGATCACGTTTTTCAGAGGACACCAAAATTTTCCCCATTGCATCTAGAACTATGGATATCGTAAATCGAACACAGCGACTGAATGAAATTTCACGCTCTACTGAATAAGAGTCAAGTATGTAAGTTTTGTTCTTGCAAGTAGGTCTGTGAAAATGATGAGAGATGTAAATTTAGTATATAAATCTCTCTGGACATATTGTTAGTTACGAGTAATACAAGGATGAGAACTATCACCTTCGCACCACCACTAGAAAGGAAAACGTTCGTATTATCAGAAAAAATGAACAACTCTCCGCTTTGATACGCAGTAAATATATATCTCGTATTTAGCAAATAATATCACAGATATTGTTGACTTCTTTCAAGCCGACGCCTTAGAAGAAACGGGACGAAATTCATCGTATGACATGGTTGACTAGTTTAATAACAACCGATATTATGAAGGCGAAGTCTAATTCATATGAGAGAAGATAATCAACCATTGTAAGCTCTTGTGAACCACTATTAACACACTTCCGGTCACTAGGTTCTCAATGAGAAGGAAAAACAGAACGGAACACTAATTTTTAACATTTTATCCACCAGAAGGTAGCGTGGTTTCGTAAAAAGGAATGGAAATCAGTTAAAGAGAAATTTTGCAGTATTAACCCCAAAGAACCGAATTTCATTGTCCTTGGAAAAACGATGTTACGTGTGGCTTCTCATTGCCTTCGTTGCTCGTTTCCTGATTCTTGGTAATATGAAGTTTAAAATTCCTCTTTCGGATACATTAGTCTGCTTACTCAAGTTCACTTGCTGCTCTAAGGTGCTTTGCAAAGTAAACATTTGCCAAACGCACCCTGTAAGGTTACTTGGTGTTACTTATGAACGAAAATCGGAAAGAGAAGAAGCCCATTTTTGCAAAGTCCATCAGTCCTGGTTACATTTGACCTCTAAAACTATCTTTCAGGATCACACACACAACCAAACAAGTGTGTTAAAACGCAGTAGGAATCAAAAGCTTGTGCATTTTAGAGGCTTCGGCAGAACATTTTAGGGCATAACTATGAGTGGCAATTAAACGAACTAAATTCCTGGTTTAGTATGGCATTAATGCTACGGGTTTATTTGCTGAACAATAAAACGTTATGACGATCTTCCGACATTTGTTGTTATTTCTCAGTTGTCATTATCATCATATCTCTAATTTCTGCATATTTATCAAAATCCAAGCTATCCTGCTTAATTCTTATCCAGATACAATTTTCATATTACCTATACATCTCTGATAATAACGCAAATTCCTTACAGTGCTTGAATTTTCAAACGATTGGGGATGTAATACATCACTGTTTTTCAGTAAGCTACTTGTTATAACTGTGACTGCTGATTATGGAGCGCAGAGAATTATCGATCGGACCAAAGACGCGTAAATACGTGGGAACAACCTAGAGTTCTGATTGGCCCTGCTTCCTGTCTGGCCCATCCAGTTGAGTCCAGAACGCAAGTCTCAGCCTCTGAGATATGAATCATTATATTTCAAACATACTCTGTTTATATACCAATCAAGCAGACCACAACGTACCATAAAATAGAAAATAACATTTGTACAATATTTGGCCAACAGACAAATGATACGTGAAATAAGTATTGATCAGTAGGAAAATGACACGTGAAATAAATAATTGACCAATAAGAAATGATACCATCTCAAGCCCAAAGGATAGCGTTAGACTTAACAGAATAATTTTTCTTCGTTGTATCGTGAAGCTGTTTCATATTTCCTTCCCTTTCAGCTTTTTCTGCCGTCGTTGCTAGTTCTTCCACGTATTTCTTCTTGTCGGCTCTAATGCTCCTCTTCACTTGCTTGTTTGCTTCTGTGTATTCAGCTTGTGCTTGGACTTTCTCTGCTCGTGTTCGGCTGTTGTTAATTGCTACCTTCTTGTTCTTCCTTTCTTTGATCTTGTCCAGTGTTTCTATAGAGATCTATTCCTTATGATGGTGTTTCTTTAGGCCCAGAGCCTCTTGACAAGTTGAAGTTAATGCTTCTTTGATACCTTTCCAGTTTTCCTCCATTGTAGTTTCTTCTTCCTTCAGTAGATCTTGTAAGGCTTGGAACCTGTCGTTGAGAGCTATCTTGAATTCACTGAGTCTGTCAATATCTCGAAGGAAGGCCGTACTGAACATTTGTAGTGCTGTGTGTCCAGTTGTCCAGTACTTTTCAGCTTCACTTTTAAATTGGCTACAACTAGGTGGTGATCTGAACCTATGTCAGCACCTCTCCTGGTTCTCACATCTTGCATTGTCCTTCGGAATTTTTTGTCGTTGCAAATATGATCTATCTGGTTCTCTGTAGTGTGGTCCTCTGAGATCCATGTAGCTTTGTGTATACGTTTGTGTGGAAATATTGTGCACCCTATGACCAATTTGTAGAATGCACACAAATTTGCAAATCCTCCATTTTCGTTTCTCTGTCCCAGGCCATGTCGTCCAATAATATCTTCATATCCGATGTTGTCTATTCCGACTTTGGCATTTAGACCCTCCATTAGAATGGTGAGGTCCTTTCTTGGGCATTTCTCTATGATTGATTGCAGCTGCTCGTAGAATTGATCTTTAATGTCGTCGTTGCTATCATTGGTGGGTGCATAACATTGGATAATATTCATTAAAATCCCCTCCTTCTTTGTTTTGAATGATGCTTTGATGATTCTGGATCCGTGAGACTCCCATTCTACAAGTGCATTTGGTGCTACTTTGGACAGCATTAGAGCGACTCCCTGAGTGTGTGGAGCATTTTCCTCTTCGTGACCGGAGTATAGCTAGTCTTTTCTGTCCACCTTGGGTCCAGTGGGTTTCGCTGATTCCCAGTACTGCCAAGTTGTATCTCCTTATTTCCGTTGCTATTTGACTGACGCAGTTTAGTGTTTTCCTCACTCTGTGTCCTATCCACTTCCAGCGCTTTTTCCTGATTTCTTCTTCCATTGGAATCTGGTTTGTTCTCTGCCACAGTAGGTTGTTGCTGATAGTGTCTGGCCAACGGATCCGAAGTATTTTGCGTAGACAACTGTTAATAAAAACCTGTATCCTCTGGATGATGGCTTTCGTAGTTCTCCAAGTTTCCGCTCCATACAGTAGAACTGTATTGACAATTTGTATTGAAAATTCTGACCTTGGTGTTGGTTGACAGTTGCTTTGAGTTCCAGATGTTCTTCAGTTGTAAATATGCTGCTCTTGCTTTACCGATCCGCGCCTTCACATTTGCATCAGATCCACCGTGTTCATCAATGATGCTGCCCAAATATGTAAAGGTCTTTACATCTTCCAAATCGTCTCCGTCAATTGTGATTGGATTGGTGCATTCTGTGTTGTATCGGAGAATCTTGTCTTTCTTTTTGTGTATATTGAGACCTACTGGCGCTGAGACTGCTACTACACTGGTCGTTTTCTCCTGCATTTGTTATTGCGTTTGCGATAGGAGGGCCAGATCATCTGCGAAGTCTAGATCGTCCAGCTACATCCTAGATGTCCATCGTATCCCGTGTTTCCCTTCATTTGTTGACGTCTTCATGGTCCAGTCGATCACCAGGAAAAAGATAAAGGGTGAGAAAATTTTTTTGGTTAGCGTTTTTTAGCGAGTTATTTTTCTACGGGATGGGGTCGCTAACCCCATGCCCAACCCTCCTCCTTTCTCCGGGCTTGGGAACTGCAGTAACCCCGGAGGGACTCCAGGCGGAGTTATGGTGCAACGAAGGTGCTCTAAGTTCGTCGACTGGCTTCGTTAGAAAGCATCGTCTGATAGCTTAATTCCTAGTCCTTCGAATTTCGATTTGGACTCATCAAACTCCTATAAGATCATACATCTTGTGGTAAAATGTAACGAGCAGTTCATGTTAATAAAATTTCACTGATCACAGTGCTACATAGATGTGGTTAAATAAGACATGACCAAAATATGAAGCAATTCAGTTACTCATTTTTTCTTCCGTAGTAGTGACCAAACAACGATAAACGAATGTTAACTCTTATTTGCATGTTTTAAGTGAAGGTTCCAGACTGAAGAATTTCAAGTTTACGTTTAGAGCTCACAACAGTTAAAGGCAAGTTGTTCAGAAAGGGTACCTTAAAAATAGGAAGAATTTAAGATAACTGACAGAATACCTCTGAAACTATCAAGTTTCTAAGATTTAGAAGTCAATTTGTGGATACATTGGACAACATTCAATATTGTGCAGCTGTGTTTTTGTCTGCTGATTGGCGCTCACAGATAGCGTGTTCGGACATGGTAAGTCGCTTGTTGTCATCAGTTCAGCATTTTGTAGTCACACAGGAAATTCTCTGCTCCGCGTCACGGTTCTCTCGGGTTTACACCTAAAAAGCGCTGTCGACGCATCCGAGGGAAATGCAAGGCATTCCCATGGGACAAAAGATCTCTTCCACCTCATCTGACTGCTTTCATGGGATATAAAGCAGGAATGACTCACATTGTTCGTGAAGTTGATCGACCTGGATCCAAGGTTCATAAGCGTGAGGTTGTTGAACCAGTAACTATAATGGAATGCCCACCTATGGTAATCGTTGGGATGGTTGGGTACGCACCAACTGCCAAGGGTTTAAGGACTTTTAAGACTGTCTGGGCAGAACATCTTACTGAAGAATTCAAACGTCGGTTTTACAAAGATTGGTGCAAGTCTAAGAAAAGAGCTTTCCTTAAATCGTCTAAGAAATGGTTATGTGAAGCAGGCCTTGCACAGATAAAGCGTGATCTGAAAAAAATCAAAAAGTATTGTACGGTTGTTCGAGCGATTGCACACACACAGGTAATCCTAATAAATACTCATTAAACTCTATTAGATGCGCCTGATGAAACATCGTCAGAAGAAGTCACATATCATGGAAATCCAAGTAAATGGTGGGACTATTTCACAGAAGGTCGATTGGATTCGCCAGCATTTCGAGAAGCAGATATCTGTTTCAAACGTGTTTTCGCAAGATGAAATGATTGATGTTATAGGTGTCACTAAAGGTAAAGGTTTTAAAGGCGTTACTTCTCGCTGGCACACCAAAAAGCTTCCTCGAAAAACCCACAAAGGTTTGCGTAAAGTAGCTTGTATTGGTGCGTGGCATCCTGCACGTGTAGCAAGATCAGTTGCTAGGGCTGGTCAAAAGGGTTACTTCCACAGAACAGAGTTAAACAAGAAGATCTACAGAATTGGAATGGGTAAGTTTCAAATATTTTATATTTTCTGGTAGGTTTACAAGCTCAGCTAGAGGTTGCGAAGGCAGAAGCCTCTAAGGATGATAAAGATAAAAATGCAGTACCTAAACCTAAAGGCAATGCGTCCACAGAGTTCGACTTAACGGCTAAAAACATCACCCCTATGGGTGGTTTCCCACACTACGGTGAAGTCAGGAACGATTACGTCATGATCAAGGGTTGCTGTATGGGACCCAGGAAGCGTGTCATAACACTTAGGAAAACATTGATTCCTCAAATTAAGACACGATCAAAGGAGAAGATTGTCCTGAAATTTATTGATACATCATCCAAGTTTGGTCATGGTCGGTTCCAGACTCGTGCTGAAAAACAGGCTACTATGGTGAGTCTTTCGAAATATTCGTTTATGAACTTTGTAATTTTAGGGTCCTTTGAAAAAGTGTCTAGGACGCGCGAAGGTCGTCGCATAAATGTGATTCCCTACAATAAAATTATGGTAGAAATCGTTTCTTCTTATTACGCTATATCAACAAATTGGGTCCATTTTTTATCTAAACTCCGTAAACTGGCGATTTGTATGACGGACAGTGCTGTGTTGTCGCAAGTTAATTGTGTGCGTAACTTACCTACTTTACTTATATACGATGGCCGGTATTTTGAATAAAAAAATGCTTATTATTCATTATGTTATAATCCGTCCGATATTCATTTACTATCGATCAGTGAGTTAAGTCTTTCAAAGAGAAAATGTTTTTTAAAATGAAAATTTCGAGTCTTTTCTACCGTCTTGAAAGTGTCTTTAACTTAAGTGTTATTACGATTATTAGTAACACAAAAAATAAGCTGAGAAATGCTAACGCCAATGCTTATGTAGTTCCCGTGTCGAGCTTGACACAGTATTCCTAGAACGCTTGGTTAATATATGCGTAGTGCGGTGGTTGATCACTATAGATTTATTGTGAAAATGTTTTTGTTTGTACGCGGTACAGGTTTCTTCAAAGCATCCGTGTTTAGGACCCTAGCTGGTGTTCGCGATGCCTCCATTTATTGATTAGTCATTTCGTGTTTACACTCAAGCGAGTTGTATGTTGAAGTACTAAGCCTAGTTGGGTTAATACGCACTGGCGAAACGAGGTTTAATAATAAGGTAATTGTATGCTGCTTACGTGATGGTCTCACTACCTGTCTCATTCTGTGTAGGAACCCCGGCTGCTACCACTTTATACGTACAATTTCATCGTAAATAATTCAGTCAGGAACGTATGACATCAAGCCTAACATTCAATATTTCGATGATATGAAAGTAGTAATCTATGACTAAGTAGGTGAGTGGCAAAAATACCGTGGAAGGTAGGGTAATGGGAGCTGCAAAATATTAAAAAAGACACTAGTCGAAGTTATGTTATGGTATACTCAATCAAGATAGGTATATGATTAGGCCTAGTTTTCATATTATTATTGTAACGTGATAACTATTTAACGGCAATTCTCATAGAAACCGACTTCAATGGGGCTTGTGATCTGGACCTCGATAAAGTTATCTTCCGCTCTTCCTGCATGGATGTCTTCATTTGGTAATGTTGAAGATAATAAGGTAGAAGTGTGTCGTTATTCTTTGAGGATTCGGTAAGGTTTGCTTTTTAGTTCTCTAAAAACTGGGTTGGTGTGCTTTTTCTCGTTATCTACTAATGCTTTCGCTCGAGTCTTACTAGATTATGAGTGACTGTCCGTGATTAAGTACTAGTTCATATGTTTTGGTTGTTCATTTGGAAATTGGAGATTTTGAGTAACATGGCTTGAAAACCATCGCACTGGTGCAGTTACATGCATCCTCTATCTTCAAATCATGAGTAAGCATCATTTGCGTATTTCTACCCTTCGACTGCATTTGTTTCTTTGCATCTGTCTAATGCTTTGATACTCACTGCTTCCGATTTTATATACTATACTTGTTATTCTGTTGACTGCCTCGTATCATAGTGATTTGAAATGTGATACATTGGACCGAACTTGTCTCGTTGCAGGTCCTACGTTGGTATTGACGTGGGTATGTTTGTTGTCCAACCTCAGAAATATTCACATTATAAACTAGTCTCTCACGGAGTTCTTGTCCGATAACCCTCAAATTAAAAAGCCTAAATAGTGTTTAAGTTGACAAGAAAGGAAAATGAATAATTCCAGAAGTGTCCACACAGTGATCCTGTCTTTTTTAATGTTCAAATTTTAGATGAATATAGATTTTCTTTGAAGTCTTGTCAAGTTTACTTGATATGAACTTTCGATACCGTTTAAACGTCTTTATCATCAGAGTGATGGATTAAAGATAAGTATTTGAAAAAAAATTATGGTACTATGAACTATGTTGTATCAGTGCCTTTGCAACGTTGTGGTTACATTTATTACTACTAAATTTAGTGAAGAGTATATTTAATAAACAATATTTGCGTGAATGTTAACAGTCGTACAACCCCATCAAGATTAGTAATTTGAATTGTTAAACTATTTAAGGACTTTTAATATAGGTAGTACCATGTAGCTGAAGAAAATAACATTAAATCTAGAAAAATGGATAATAAAAACTTTAGGATTTTTAAGAAAATAAAAACATTCTAACTTCAACTATATTTTCAATTTAAATACAGTTGTCCTACATAACTAAACCAGTTATTTGTTCCAAACAATCCAGTCATTTATCTTGTTGCAATAATTAGCCCGTAGTTGTTGCTAACTTAACTAAATCGGGGATTGGTCGGCAATGAATTTGTAGGCTGAAAAATGCAGGCGTAAAATGTACCTAATTTTATTTATATTAAGATTTTTTATTTACATCGAAAAAGTTGAGCATCGTAGATTTTTTTATAGGTTAAACCCACCAAAATATAACTGCTTTCAAACGATTGGTCAATAGTCATATCTGTAGCAATTTCTAAAAACGTCATCGTAGGCGATAGTAAAACAGACAATGTCATGAGATCCTACAATTTGGTTGAAGGTCACTTGAGTCTCATGTGTAGTGTTTTCGGGTACAATGTGTGTATTATCCATTGACATTTCCGCTCAAGACGTTTCATGAAATTACAAGTCAAGTTTTGATTTTATCTTATGAAGATTAATAATTAGGTCTAACTATCCTTGAAACGGAAGGAGCCCATGCACATCAAACTCTTCCACTTTCTAGAGACTGATTTATCAGTTACTAGCAATGGCGAGATGTTGGTCGTTAGGAAGCTCCAATATTATTCAGTACATAAGACAGGGATGAAAGTGACACCAATGGTCCACTGGCTGAGATGTATGGGACATTTTCCAGTGACTACGACGTTTTACACTTATGATCTATTTTTTATCAGTATGAAATAAAGGAAAATGAATTGTGTGCACAACCAAACGGTACAGAGAAAAGAAACATATACTCAAAAGATAAATGTTTGAATGTTCTCGAAACATTCTACTTTCAAGTTGTCTGACATGCGACAAAATTGTGACAATCACTATTTCGACGAAAGTTTGGAAATCAATAAACAATGAACAAATCAAAAGGGACTATGATAAGTGGGATTAGTAGCATTAACCATAATACACGGATGTCGAAAATGTTCAAAATCTGAGCCGAAAGCTTCATAGATAATTTAGTCAACCAGCTAAATTCTATCCCTTTGGTTAACCATTAGTAACTAAAGTTATATGGCGTCTAATTTTTCAATATCTGCACCATATATCTGCACCATATTTCAACAACGGAATCTATCGATTTTCATGCAACTAACACGCGATATACAACCTATTTCATGTTCGTCTACGGATATAACAGGCGGTGGTAGGGGTCAAATATACATCCAAACGATGTAAGCGTCTTTTTAGCCAATCGGACTACACACAAAGTAATCACATAGCTTTTTATGCTAAGAATTACGATCAGGGTATCGATATTATTACCTAGGAGTTAAAGCTGATGTTAGTTGGTGATTTAAACCCCAACCCTAACTACTAATCCTTATCCTTAATATTAAATTGTAACCCTAACTGGATATTTGCTGACCAAGTTACCTATATATTCCATGACAATATGCTGTTATGTAAGTTGACTCTACTATCTATTCATTTCCCCTGTTAATTCAAGTGAACATGGATAATAAATGTTGATTCTGATATTTCTTATCGGATCATTACGAGGGTCGGTATAACTTTCCCAGAGTAATATGGTTATAAGGTTTACCTTTATATTAACAATATACTATATATATATATATATATATATATATATATATTGAATGTAAAATACAATATATACACACATATGCTTATCTGCCTATATAATCATATACTATTGCATTCGTTCGCTGCAGTCTGTTTTTGTTCGTCCACAAAGAACCCTTTTTTTGTCGCATTCATCTTTCACAGGACTACAATGAATCAATTATGGTGCCACTCTGTGTATTAGTACACATCAAATTAAGACTACTATATGACTTATAAACTCAGTGACAAATGGTTGTTAACTTATAATGCTATAAACGGCCACTACAATCACAGAAATCGTATTAAAATTCGAGAATTTCTTTCTGAAACTGGTACACTTAGTGAAAATAGTAGTCACTTTACTGTGGTGATTCTAAGTCTTCTATGGTTGTTTAAGGGTAGATTGGCTCGTGATTTCAATATAATACAAAAACCGCAACCCATTCTGTCATTTCGTTTTGTTTACTCACGCCCAGTTTCGGAGACGAATTGATTTTTCTATTTGCTAATCACTCATCGGGTACAGGTTCGTTTGATTGGTTCCAAGCGGAAGCTCGTGATAGTTAGCGTAATGACTTGATTATCGAATTCATTATAGGAGCAATGGTATTCGAACTTGTAGCCCATTAATTAAGTGTCATTCATGTCTCATGCTAAAGTTAACAGCTTGACATTTAGACAGATTAGGTATGAGACCATTACCAACAGACCAACAATCAATGAGAGACAAAAACTCATTCATTTCTATGGGATGTAAAGAAGTAGAAATCGGCATACATACAGTGAGGTCATCTGAATATTTCACAACAGTGTTTTTGTGGAAGATGGCAGATCATTCAGAAAAAAGGAGAAAAGAAGAGGTGGAAGAACAGCTCCTTGTGGTACACCCTCATGAGACAGTAGGGACGTTGAACACTTTCCTCCAAATACAGTGTACTGCTCCCTTCCATAGAGGTAGGAACATAGCCAGTTGGTTATCCAGCCGTCAGTGTCGACGCTGATTAGCTTGTTATTAGATGTTGTCTTGGTATAAAATCAAAAGCTGAACTATAGTCCAGAAAAGCGAATCGAACTTACTTCTTACCCTTTTCTAAGTTGAACACTATGTTGTGATGCAGAACAGCAACAGCACCTAAGGTGCTTCGTTTGCATCTGCAAGCAAACTGATATGGATCAATATGCTCTTTAATCTCAAACTGAAGTGGAAGTATCAATAATTTTTCCATGGTTTTGAGGAAGGGTAAAGTTATTGCAATAGGTCTAAATTTCACATTATTATCATCAGATACTTTCTTTCGTACAGAGATTATCTTCATCTTTCTCCACATTTTCAGTACGAGGTTAGATGAGAAGGATCTGTTAAAGATACTCGTGAATGAATAACATAGGACGTCAGCACATTTTGTAAAAAGGATGTTTGGGATACCATCAGGTCCCAAACATCGGGAGGAATTAAGCGACTGGAGACATTTTCGAGCATCAGTTTCAGTGAAACTAGGAACACAGCTGTTCTTTTAACCTGTGGGTAAAGGGAGCATCACATCAGATGACTGACGTACAAAAGACTTATTTAAGTCACAAATATTTAGCTGGTTTTCGCTCCTAAACTGTCTGTCACCTGTAAGTTCTTTAAAGAGTTTGCATATACTTGGAGAGATTTTGCAAGACAAGAGTTTTTGAGTAAATATAGTGTTGAGACGTTTAATCTCTAGGTTTATCAGACCATTTAGCTTACGAACTTCATTACAGTTTTTATCCTTGTACATTCTTTCTTTCACCCTGCGTAGTCCTTTTACTTGTGAAGATGTTAGTCGATCAAAACTTACAAAAATGGTTTCAGTGGGACAACAAATATCAAAAAAGAATTTAAGGTAACAAGTGATAACATCAGTAGTGATTTGCAGTGAGTCATCTGTAAATAATTCCCAGTTAGTCGTTTGAAACATGTTCTTCAGATTTCGGATATTTTCTTCTGAGTAATTCCTATATTTGACTTTCTTGGTTTGATGTAAGAGTGTACTCTTCCCATGTTTTCCATATACTTTAGGTAGAACACGAATTATACAGTGATCCGAGCTAGACAATGGAGCACGTTTACGAGTCGCATGTATACCTATATCAATAATTAAAACGAAGTCTAAATGAGCATCCAAACGAGTAGGAAAATCTACTACGTTTTTGGTGACCTAGCGACGTAAGGAAGCTACAGTCATATGAATTGAAATCACCACACACAACTGAAAGTGAATGGCTGGAGGCAGAAACAGCGAAATCAGTGAATTCATCAGCGAAACCAGATAGAGCAGATGATGTTCAGTCTGGAGTCACGTAGATATTAGTAACATGAACATATTTGTATTTATTCAGATGTTTTGGGCGACATCTTAAAGTTATACAGTCAATAAAGTCATTTGAAAACTTAAAACACACAAACGAAGATCGACACCAGGTTATGTTTACAAACGTAGCTACACCGCCCCCACACCTTTTTTTATTGTTTGATCGATCCTGAGGATAAATTTTGAAATCACGTAGTGATTCTAGGCAGTCATCCTGTAAATTATTTAACCAAGATTCTTGAATTGCGATGACATCACAATTACGATACATATTTTGACATAGTAAGAGTCGCAGATAGTCCACTTTGTTGATTAGTGATCGGCAGTTAGAATTTAGAAGCTCTAGAATCGACATATGATTAATTTTCATTCTTTTTAATGCATATTGCCAACGACCACGATGTCTTTTATAGTACATTTTGTAACTTGTGCAGCGAAAGGTCGCAGGCTTTTCATAAAAGCGCCCGCATAGGCTATGCGATTAATGAAAAAACAGATAACTTGTTGAAATAATTAGATGGCAGAAACAGGTAGCCCAGATATTCAAGCAGGCCACCGTTACCTTCGTCGAATATTAAATACCCAAAACAGTGCAGATATTTTTAAATAAAATATAAAGCTGGGCATGCCTCAAATATCTAGCCAAACTAATGCACAGCGTTGTGAATAATTCGAATGCCATATGTATGAAACATTGCAATATCCCTCAATTTAAGTTACAGCAGACAAATAAAACTGATAAGAATCAAATAGGGCGAAAAAAAGTCCTACATTACACTGATGTATCTCAAGTTAAACGTTTACCTATAATGAACAAATAAGTTTAGGAAAAGAAATTCAAAATTCATTGACCCAAGATTATATGAACATCACATAAAAGTATAAGTTCAAAAAGCAGTATCAATTACTATTAAAACAGAAATATATATAGCAATTTTTAAAAACGTCATCGTAGGCGATAGTAAAACAGACAATGTCATGAGATCCTACAATTTGGTTGAAGGTCACTTGAGTCTCATGTGTAGTGTTTTCGGGTACAATGTGTGTATTATCCATTGACATTTCCGCTCAAGACGTTTCATGAAATTACAAGTCAAGTTTTGATTTTATCTTATGAAGATTAATAATTAGGTCTAACTATCCTTGAAACGGAAGGAGCCCATGCACATCAAACTCTTCCACTTTCTAGAGACTGATTTATCAGTTACTAGCAATGGCGAGATGTTGGTCGTTAGGAAGCTCCAATATTATTCAGTACATAAGACAGGGATGAAAGTGACACCAATGGTCCACTGGCTGAGATGTATGGGACATTTTCCAGTGACTACGACGTTTTACACTTATGATCTATTTTTTATCAGTATGAAATAAAGGAAAATGAATTGTGTGCACAACCAAACGGTACAGAGAAAAGAAACATATACTCAAAAGATAAATGTTTGAATGTTCTCGAAACATTCTACTTTCAAGTTGTCTGACATGCGACAAAATTGTGACAATCACTATTTCGACGAAAGTTTGGAAATCAATAAACAATGAACAAATCAAAAGGGACTATGATAAGTGGGATTAGTAGCATTAACCATAATACACGGATGTCGAAAATGTTCAAAATCTGAGCCGAAAGCTTCATAGATAATTTAGTCAACCAGCTAAATTCTATCCCTTTGGTTAACCATTAGTAACTAAAGTTATATGGCGTCTAATTTTTCAATATCTGCACCATATATCTGCACCATATTTCAACAACGGAATCTATCGATTTTCATGCAACTAACACGCGATATACAACCTATTTCATGTTCGTCTACGGATATAACAGGCGGTGGTAGGGGTCAAATATACATCCAAACGATGTAAGCGTCTTTTTAGCCAATCGGACTACACACAAAGTAATCACATAGCTTTTTATGCTAAGAATTACGATCAGGGTATCGATATTATTACCTAGGAGTTAAAGCTGATGTTAGTTGGTGATTTAAACCCCAACCCTAACTACTAATCCTTATCCTTAATATTAAATTGTAACCCTAACTGGATATTTGCTGACCAAGTTACCTATATATTCCATGACAATATGCTGTTATGTAAGTTGACTCTACTATCTATTCATTTCCCCTGTTAATTCAAGTGAACATGGATAATAAATGTTGATTCTGATATTTCTTATCGGATCATTACGAGGGTCGGTATAACTTTCCCAGAGTAATATGGTTATAAGGTTTACCTTTATATTAACAATATACTATATATATATATATATTGTATGTAAAATACAATATATACACACATATGCTTATCTGCCTATATAATCATATACTATTGCATTCGTTCGCTGCAGTCTGTTTTTGTTCGTCCACAAAGAACCCTTTTTTTGTCGCATTCATCTTTCACAGGACTACAATGAATCAATTATGGTGCCACTCTGTGTATTAGTACACATCAAATTAAGACTACTATATGACTTATAAACTCAGTGACAAATGGTTGTTAACTTATAATGCTATAAACGGCCACTACAATCACAGAAATCGTATTAAAATTCGAGAATTTCTTTCTGAAACTGGTACACTTAGTGAAAATAGTAGTCACTTTACTGTGGTGATTCTAAGTCTTCTATGGTTGTTTAAGGGTAGATTGGCTCGTGATTTCAATATAATACAAAAACCGCAACCCATTCTGTCATTTCGTTTTGTTTACTCACGCCCAGTTTCGGAGACGAATTGATTTTTCTATTTGCTAATCACTCATCGGGTACAGGTTCGTTTGATTGGTTCCAAGCGGAAGCTCGTGATAGCTAGCGTAATGACTTGATTATCGAATTCATTATAGGAGCAATGGTATTCGAACTTGTAGCCCATTGATTAAGTGTCGCTGATCATTCATCAATAGATTTATCTTTTGAGGTTTTATAATAAGTTGAATTATGAGTCATAGTTTTTTGGAAGTTGGAGGTGATTGTTGTTTACATGAATTAAATAAATAGTAAGAAGTTGACTGCCCTAGTTGGTTTGGAATAGTTTCATGAACTAATTGGTGGACGATAAAGATGATCTTTGTTATTAATCTGATAAAACCGCTGTACGAATAAATTATGACATATGATACTGTTATGTGATTTAAAATTATTATTACCAAAATATTAAAATCTTTTAGTTGACTTATCTCCACATATCCCTGAGATAGGTTGCTACTACATTCTGGAAAAGATTTGAATTCATCCAGTAAATGTTGTAGACCAAACTTTCGGTAAATCAGTGCATACTCTCATCGCTGAGATTTTAAGTATGTATCAAGTATATGATATTAAGGCTGTTTGATAAACATCCGTTTGGAGTGCGATCCATGATATGGCTCCTCATTGATGCTTATAATTAAACTATCTATAATCGTATTCTAAGTGCCCAAACATAAATGTTAAAACTAAACTTCTTTAAGTATTTAAACGGATGAATGGTCCAATTGAAATATTCTAAGTTAGTGCATTTTTAATCCTTAATCACCTGTAATTTAAAGAATTGGATTTAAGTGTTACTGTATGTTTCACCAATTTGTTAGATTTTCTGTTTTCCCGTTGAGGTGTAGATCTGATAGTGTACATTAAAGGTTTAACTGTATCAAATAAATCTGATAAGAACTACATTGGCTGTAGCTAACAAATGGAAACCATTTCAAAGTTGTGAATGTCAGGCCCATCCAAAACCCACTCTCATAAAGCCTAGTAGGCTGGTTCTTGACTGCGTGAGATTAAGACAGTCAAGTTTTTCTTAGCATGTGTAATTACTAAAATGTTGGGAATACTTTTGGTGTTCATTTATACCTAGTTATATTTGAAGGGCGAGTGAAATGTCACTGAACCCTAGCCAAATCATACAGCAGTTGGGTCATTGAATGGCGAGTGGTTCATCGACCCTCGTCACGGACGTGTAGTGACTCACGTTTATCACGAGAACACGACTGGTTTAATAAAAACAATTATTATTATAACCAACTGTACCAGTGTTTGTTTTAACGTGCTTTTGTTTGACTGTGCTAATGACAGCTATTTTGTGCTTCCATTCTTATACTTACACTTCGATTGTAACTTCGCGCGAATTCGGTTACCTTCTGTAACCAAGGTTGTATCCTGGCACGATCTCGGTATCCTTTCGATGCCACGAGATCGCCAGCAAATAAACCTCGACTTGGTCCATTAATTGCCTTCTGGTATTCGGCTTCTCGGGGATTTTATGGATCTATTTGGTTACGTCCAACCCTCGCCTTCTGATTCGCTTGGCACGTGTTTCTTGGTAGCGGTGTTCATAGTTAACCTCAACTCGACGCCACGCTACAGACGACCAACGCTCACCAATTAGTTGCTTACTATGGATCGGTTCGCGCAACAGTGGTTTCACTTTGTTAATTGTACATACCATTACCAATATATTTCCGTAATAACGTCGTTCATGTTGAAAGGTCATTAAACCAGGCATAGTACCTGGATGCGACGAAGGGGTGATCTGCATTGGGTGCTAACCACGAGGTATGACTTCGACGTTGACTGATTGCTCATATCATTCCCGTCTAACTTGAGTAGGCCCCAATCACTCGAGACAGATCATACGTTAGTGATCTGCATACTATATTGTCAACCTTCATTCATTTCATAAATTTATCTTCCCTAAGCAGTTTACACTGTTGTGAATATCGGAAGGATTTGTTAACAGTATATGTGCAGTATTTTCCGATGATGATGGTGAAACTACACATTTAAATCATGTCTGTTATTAACAATTTCAATAATCTAACTGTTGTGTGGTATTTGTACTAACTGATAGTTCGTTTTTACTTGATTGCGCTTTTACACGAGTTTCAAATATAATGCGTTCAGTCATGCTCATCTAGTTATATCTGGATTAGACTGCATTATGTTGGAAGTTCCCACTTATCACATTAGTTCGAAAACTTCTAATTATCATACTGGCGTCGCGATTAAGTTGAATCTTGAGCAGATGGATATTAATTCAAGTGGGGATATCTCTGAAGATTGCAGGGAGCAGTTCGAAATCTGTTGCATGACTAGAAAGGATATTAAAGATGATTAGTTCGCAGCTTATTTCCTGACATTCATTGACAAAGAAGCATTTAACCTACTAAAGAATCTGGCTTCTCCAGAGAAACCAATTTCATTGACACATGAGCCTCTCAAGAAGTCACTACTTAGTCATGTGCAGTATGCTGGCCTTGAGTGTGGAGAGAGAGCAATGTCTCATAAAATGGTGTGATAAGATGACCGGAAAGTTAAAGACTTATTACTCGAACTACAGAAAGAGACCACGAAGCGCAATTATAGAGGCCAGCTGGAAATTCCATCTCGTGATCGTTTGATTACTGGGATAAATATTCCGAATTTCGAAAGAGAATCGACTCAAAAAGCTAAAAGTTCATTCCATGAAATTAAAACAGCATGTATCAACCATGAGGCAGTAAATTAACTTGAACTTCGGTAACTGAAAATTTCTAATACTTTTCTTAGTCGTCATGATGAAGAAATTGAAGTATTTCTCAATCATTTATCAATACATGATAAATAAACTTATTCGAATTAATGTGTTCAATAAAAATTTCTGAAAAATAGACTTAATCATCAAGAATGTACTTCTAGTATTAGAATTACGATCCGAAATCGGAACAGGATTGCTGGGTCTTTTGAATTCCTTTTGATGCACATATCGATTTCAAAGCCTCTGTTCATTTTACCACTAATGATAATAATCACTTTGGTTCGTGTTCTATAAATTTGGATTTTTCTGATGACTATTTAT